GTGTACATACCCAGGTAATGATAGTATATTCATGTGCGTGTACATACCCAGGTAATGAAATTTACTGTTGGATTTGCTCTTGTTGTTATTGTTGTTTTAGGCTGTATAGTGAGTTTGAGAGCTGCCAGGGCTACATAGTGCTACTCTACCAAAAATAAACCAAAACAAAAATACACGTTTATATATGCATGTTTCTTTGCAGTTATCCTACAATCTCAGCTACAGTCTATCTCTACTTTTTTTTTCTTTTTAAATTGACTTTTCAGGTTTTTTTTTTTTTTAATAGTCAAATGCACCAGTCTGGTTCATTTCAACTCCTTCACTGCAAACCAGAGAGCCGGGACTGTTTTATCGTTGCTGCCTTCTACTTATCTGTGATGACCAGGCGGTAACGGTACCTGCTGCAGCAAACATTGAAGTTCACATGGTCCTTGTTCCTTTTTTTTTTTTTTTGGTTTTTCGAGACAGGGTTTCTCTGTGTAGCCCTGGCTGTCCTGGAACTCACTCTGTAGACCAGGCTGGCCTCGAACTCAGAAATCTGCCAGTCTCTGCCTCCCGAGTGCTGGGATTAAAGGCGTGCACCACCACCGCCGGCATAATCCTTGTTCTTGATATTGGCGGATTTGGCATCCAGCCACTGGGCTGTGAGCAGAAAGTCTTTGATTTCCTTATTTTTCAAGACATGGTGCTAGGTGCTAATGACTGCACTGGCTTCAGATTTTCTTTGATTTAGCTTTCTTCCCCAATTGTCCAAAAACCTCACACCTTTGGGGTTTTTTGAGATAAGATCTCTCTATGTAGCTTTGACTGTCCTGTAACTCATGATATAGACCAGGCTGAACTCAGACTCACAGAGATACGCTTGCCTCTGCCTCCCAAGTGCTGGGATTATAGGTGTGTGCCACAGTGTCTGACTGGCTTTGTGGTATTTTTAAAATATTATTATGAAATTTGTTCTTTGACAGTTTCATACACATATATAGCATATTTCCCCCTCTTTTATCTTCCTTCCAGACATATACCCAGTTCTCTTTCTCACATTCTTGCCTTTTTGTTTTATTTGGTGACTCAGATTTTGTATACATATGTGATTTTAAACTTTCTTTTATGTTTGCTTGCATACTTGCGTGAGTGATTTTTGTGTGTGCAGGTTCACATACCCACAGAGGAGAGGTGTCAGTTCCTCTGGAGTTACGGGGAGTTGTGACGCCCCCAGCATGGGTGCTGGAAACTGAATCAGGTCTTCTCCAAGAGCAATACATGTGTTTAATCTCTGTGCCATTTCTATAGCACTGACTTTCTAGTTTTAACCAGGACTGACCGTGTGGCCATGGGGTTGAAAGTATCTATTAGAGCCTGATGGGTTTATCATTTGACATACAACTGAAAGCAATGACTGTTCCTCCCCCAGAATCTATCAGTCTTTAAAAGTTAGCATGGAGAGCAAACAGTTGGGTTTTTGTTTGTTTACTTAATTGATTTATTTTTTAATATGTATTGGTGTATTGCCTGCTTGTATTTCTGTGTGCCACATGTATATAGTGCCTGTGGAGGCCAGAACAGGGTTTTGGATCCCCAGGGCTCAAGCTATATAAATGATTGTGGTCTTCCATGCGGGTGCTGGGTCCTCCGGAAGATCGCCATTGCTCTTAACTGCTCAGCCATCTCTCTAGCCCCTACTTTTTCTTTTCCCTCCCTCCTTCCCTTCCTCCTCCCTTCCTTCCCTCCCTCCCTCCCTCCCTCCTTCCCTCCCTTCTTCCCTTCCTTCTTTCTTTCTTTCCTCTAGAAGAGGAGCAGGTGCTCTTAACTGCTAAGCTATTTCAACAGCCTACCTTTTTAATTTTTATTATTTTAAATCAAGATTAGCGCTGGATGGTGGCACACAGAGAAATGATGTCTCAAAACACAACCAAGAAAAAGAGTTTTAATTAGGCTAGACTAGCTGGCCAAGGAGCCCCAATATCTTCTTACCTGTTTCCTCAAGACTGCAATTACAAATACTACCACCATCAAACTAAGGATCAAACTTTAATTCATCCTACTTGCACAGTGTACACTTTCTGACTAAGCTATCTCCCTAGTCCCATTTTTAATTTTTATAGAATGCTATCTCTAAGTAGATCAGATAGTGAGCTTGATGTGTACCATACAAACAAGCCACTAAATAAACAGCCTGTTTTGAATTTATAGAGCACCTGTGTTTATTCTCATTCTAGATAAAGAACAGAGTGCATCAGAGATTGGGAATATTTTTACTTATCTATTATATTACCCAACATGTTTTTATTACTGTATTGCTTATTGTTAATTTAAAATAAAACCCAGAGGTACCTTATCTCCTATTTTCCCTGATTTGTATCCTTACAGCATGGCATTAAATGGTCTGCTTCGGATTGTGTCTGCTGTATTAGTAAAGCTGTTCATGTGAAATCTGAAATGTTAAAATATTTTAATAAAAGCAAAAGTATTAGTACGAGTAACTTAGTCATGATCTGCAGCAGAATAGTGACAAATAATTGCTAATGTGACATTGGTAGCAGCACTATTTACTTTGTAGTCAGCACTTAGCTCGTTACCTGGCAGAGTAGAAAGTAAATAGTTGAAGCCTGGGGATAGAGATGAGTAGATGAGGCCTTGCTTGTTATACATGGGCCTGGGTTCTAATTCTCAATCCTGAAAAAAAAAAAAAGAAAGAAAAGAAGGAGGTGGAGAGGGAGCTCAGAGGTTAAAAACACAGGCTAGTCTTCAAGAGAACTCAGGTTCAATTCCCAGCACTCACATGGCTACTCAAAACCATCTGTACTTCTAGGTCCATGGCATCTGATGCTTTATTCTGGTGTCCAAGGGTACCAGGCACAAACTTGGCATACAAATATACTTTCAGAGAAAACACTCATTAAACACAATTTTTACAAAAAGGAAGAAAAAAAAAGGGAAATAATTGACTAATGAACAATAGCAAAACGGCGATGATTTCATGAAACAATCTCTGAGGTTAATTCAATGGTATTTATATGAGTTTATATTTTTTCCTTAAGGCCACTGATGCCCGAAGGGCTTTTCCTTGCTGGGATGAGCCTGCTATCAAAGCAACTTTTGATATCTCGCTGGTTGTGCCTAAAGACAGAGTGGCTTTATCAAATATGGTATGTATGTGCTGGTAAACTTGTAATACCCTCTGGTGTGTTTGCTCTTTTGGTTAACTAGGAGACGTGAAACCAGCTAGTGTAGTGCTCACAGCAAATAGGAGCCGCGCTCCTGGTCTCCTTTACGTTTAGTAGGTCTGATGGTTTCCTCCTCTTCAAGGAAGAACTTCCCCTAAGAGAGCCACAGTCCGGCAAGATTCTTACTGTGTGGTTTGTTTGTTTGTTTGTTTTTTGTTTGTTTGTTTGTTTGTTTTGTTTTTCAAGACAAGGTTTCTCTGTGTAGCCCTGGCTGTCCTGGAACTCACTCTGTAGACCAGGCTGGCCTTGAACTCAGAAATCCGCCTGCCTCTGCCTCCCAAGTGCTGGGATTAAAGGCGTGCGCCACCACTGCCCGGCTTTTTTTTTTTTTTCTCTTTTTTCTTTTTTTCTTTTTCTTTCTTTCTTTCTTTTTTTATTTTTGGGAGGGGTGGTTTTGTTTTTAAGTCAGAGTGCACTGTATCCAAGACTGACCTGTTACTCACTTTGTAGCTCAAACAGGCCTTGAACTCAATACCTGTTTTCTTTCCTCACCTTCTCATGTGCTAGGATTGTGTCCATGAGCTGCCTTTTTAATCTACTTTTTAAAACTGAAGGAAATAAATAAGGAACATTAATATGTGAAATAACCTGCAATAAGAGTATCTTGGCTTTCTCATTAAGTCATAGAAGTGATAGCTGTATTAAAAAGTGTATTTAGGTTTTTGGCTGATTGTATTTTCAAATATGCTCTTTACTATTGTTATTGATCTCATTCATAAGTAAGATAAGCTTTCATTCTTTATTGTCTAAGACCACCTTGTTTAAGATTAATAAATAGTAGCCAGGAGCTTAGATTCTGACTGGAGAGGTAAGAGCTACTAGCTTGCTGTGCATGATGATTCTTGCCTGTAATCCCAGCACTTGAAAGACTGAAGCAGAAAAATTGCTGAAAATTCAAGTTAGCCTGGGCAACAGACCAGCTGGGTTAAAGACCCTTTACCATAGGCCAAAACCAACAAAAACATGTAGCTCTTGCCTACTTACTAGTGGGTAGAGTCCCGTGGAAATGCCGTTGTCTTCTCACCCATTCCTAGGAAGGAACCAATACACTGCATGAACCACTCGTTTACATGTTAGTGTAAATGAATTTGAGGTCTGTCTCTTAAATACCAACAGGGCTTCCTTGGAAGAAAGGATAGAGTCTTAAGAAACTGAGAGATAGCAAAACCAGCAACACAGAAAAAAAAAAAAAAAGACACTGGGAGCCACTGGATTGTGGTGTCAGACTGTGGTGGTGGATCTCTGTGAGGCCAGTCTGGTCTACAAAGTGAGTTCCAGGAAAGCCAGGTCTGTTATACAGAGAAACCTTTGGGAATTCCATAGGTAAAGGTGAAGTTTCACATCTTCCCAGAGCTTTGGGACATGGTATTTGAGATCTAGGACTCACTAATACCCTTTAAGATGAAAGATTCCATTTCTATTGTTAATTTACTTTATCTTGTCCTTATTTTTACTTGAAAAGTATTGAGGTCTTTTTAAAAAACAAAACAAAAAACAAAAAAGCCCCTGAAACCTCTTAATGCAGGCCCGGGGTAGTGGTGCATGCCTTTAATCCCAGCACATGGGAGCAAGGCAGAGGCAAGTAGGTCTCTAGAGTCCAAGGCCAGGCAGAACTTCGTAGTGAGACCCTATCTCAAAAAACAAACTGAAGCAAAGCATTCCAGTGTTTGCCATGTAAACTATTCAAGAAAAGTTATTTAAGTAAGTTCTTAGGTGTTTTAACACTTTGCTTTCAATTTCTTAGTGTAAGAACTTTATCAACAACCAGGCAAGGTTGTACAGACCTTCGATCCCAGCACTGTGGATCTCTTGAGTTAGAGGCTAACCTATTTACATGGCAAGATCCAGGCCAACCAAAGACACATAGTTACCGAGACCTTGTCTCAAAAAGGAAAGAAGAAAAGAACTTGTTTGGTTGGTTTTGTGATAAGATTTCTCTATGTAGCTCTGACTGTCCTGGAACTCGCTCTGTAGACCAGACTGGCCTCAAACTCTTGGAGATCTCTCCATCTCTGCCTTCTGAGTGCTGGGACTAAAGGCATGCACCATCACCATCCCACTGAAGGAAAATTTTCTTCTAAGAACAAAAACCTTCGTAATATTACAACTTAATTAAAATACCATTCTAAGAAAGGGAAAGGGAAAAAATACTTAAGCCTATAGGTTTTCACCTAGTATTTACTCTAAAACACCAATATAAATCTCCTTAAATTTTTCTTGTTTTCTGTTTTTGTTTCTCTTAAGAATGTAATTGACAGGAAACCATATCCTGATGATGAAAATTTAGTGGAAGTGAAGTTCGCTCGAACACCCGTTATGTCTACGTATCTGGTGGCATTTGTTGTGGGTGAATATGACTTTGTAGAAACAAGGTCAAAAGATGGTGTGTGTGTCCGTGTTTACACCCCTGTTGGCAAAGCAGAGCAAGGAAAATTTGCGCTAGAGGTAAATGTCCTTGAAGAGGATTGTTCCAACAGTATAACTCCAGGTTGGGGAATTTACATTTCTGATCAGTTATTAGTACAGTTGTGATTTAGTGGAAACTTGTTTTGATACTTTCATTTCACTTTTACTAGAATTTTGGATATGACATCCATGTCACATTAACATTTTTTTCTAAGATAATGATCCAGAAAATACAAAAGTCGGGGCTGAGGGTAGTGGGAGAGTTTGTGTTGAGATAGGGTCTCACAGTGTATGAAGTTGTGAGGTCAAACCTCTTGCTCTGGAGAAAAGAGAGAGAATATAAAAACAGAATTTATTTTTCTTATAAATGAGCTAGAGTTAGATCAGTGACAACATTTGTAGGGAACAGTCTTCAAAGGAAGTAGGGTTCCCTGGGATCCGTTTGTAGAAGCTTAAGATCGTTTGGCAGGTTAAGATAACAGGTTTCCTTTGTGGATTTCTGTGTGACTTAAAGTATTCATAGGCTGTTTTTTGTTTTTTTGTTTTTGTACTTCTTAGGTTGCTGCTAAAACCTTGCCTTTTTATAAAGACTACTTCAATGTTCCTTATCCTCTACCTAAAATTGATCTCATTGCTATTGCTGACTTTGCAGCTGGTAAAGTAAATTTCATTTTATTGCTGAATTGTATGACTTTTTTTGAATTTTGTGATTTTTGAGGAAAAGTATGCATATATATCAATAAATGTTTATATTTATTTTATGAAGGTGCCATGGAGAACTGGGGCCTTGTTACTTATAGGTATGTTAATGACACATTACCCTGTCTTCTTTCAAATCACTGATTTCATAAGGGCTTCACTCTATTCACAGTTGAGTGGCTTTTGCTTTATGCTCTGGGAAAATTTTTCCTGGCTCTCCTGAGTTTCATGAATATTTGAAGCATGCAGATGGACTTCCCTTGCTGGTGCTACTATCTGTGGGTATAATATTTTTAAAGGGAGCATTTGGCACTTGTAGCGTTTTTAGCTGTGTTTTTGGCTGAGTCATGTTCAGTGTGTTTTTTTCCTAAGAGTTACATAGCTATTGCCCAATGTGAAGACCTCCCTGATTCTGTGTTTTCTAGGCAGATTTTTACATGGCTGTCAGCACAATACAAACATGTGGGTTGCATAAGTTCTGAAGCTGAGTCTGTAAACAATTTTTCCTTCCATTTTCAGTTGCCTTTGGATGAGCTGAGCTCTGTAGAGCCTGCTTAGTGTCCTTTTTGAGACTTTAGACTGTCTTCTGCTGCAACTTTTTCATGTCTTCTCTGATTAGCAGTCTTCCTAGTCACCAGGCAGCACATGATAAACTTGGACATCTTTGATATTCTCTTGTACATAGTCTATCAAAGTAGTCTACAGACTTCTGGACCCTATTTCTCTTACATTTGCTGAGAAAATGTTTACTTGATATTACTAAAGCCTAATATAAAGACAATCGATTTGTTGCCTGAACCTCCTTCACTTCTTTATTTATGCCTGCTTTTATTGAAATGCTTTTACCATTTTATTTTATTTTTTTAAACACAGGGAGACGGCATTGCTTATTGATCCAAAAAACTCGTGTTCTTCATCACGCCAGTGGGTTGCTCTGGTTGTGGGACATGAACTCGCCCATCAATGGTTTGGAAATCTTGTTACTATGGTATTTAATATTTTTAAGTGCTCAAATATATCCATCTGTGTCCTGCTGCACATTATTTTGGCCACACTCTCAAATTTGGCTATGATGTTATGCCAAAGATTAAACACTTTCTTATCTGCTCTGTGCTGGTGGTGCTGTAAGCCCAGCACTCGGGAGGCAGAGGCAGGCGGATCTCTGGCCATACTGGTGTACAAAGTGAGTGAGTTCCAGGACATCCAGGGCGACACAGAGAAGCCCTGTCTTGTAAAAAACAAAAACAACAACAACAACAAAAAAAAAAAACAAAAACAAAATAACAAAAAAATCCAAAAGCAAAACCATTTTCTTTTAAAAGGTCTGTTTTGAAAAGGATTTATCAGGGCTGTGCAGCTAGCTCAGTGGTTAGGTTCTTGTCCAACATGCTTCAGGCCCTTAGGTTTCCTGGCATCTAGAAGGGATAAGGGAAGAGAGAAGAGAGAGATTTATGAGAACAGAGATGAGACCATTTATTTAACAGGAAATATTTTATAACTACAGTTTGTTTGCAAATAGGAAATGTTAAAATTCTAATTTAGATGAGAGAAAAATTTGTCTTGGAAGAAAAGAATGAGCCGGGCAGTAAGATTCCAGGCTAGCTAGTGTCTTAAGTTATCTTTGTTGTATAGTTTGCAAATTGAACTATATAAACACAAAAAAGTAGTTATGTGAGTCATTATTGTAGTTGCCTAAAATAAGGTGGAGTTTGAAGTAAAATTTTTAAAAATATGCAGAATAAAGTTGAACTAGCCAGGCAGTGGTGGCGCACGCCTTTGATCCCAGCACTTGGGAGGCAGAGGCAGGCAGATTTCTGAGTTCGAGGACAGCCAGAGCTACACAGAGAAACCCTGTCTCAAAAAAACGGAAAAAAAAAGTTGAACTAAATTTTTAAAAATCTGCAGAATAAAGTTGACCTAAAATTCTAACTATCTAATTGGAGTTTTCAGTAACTATGTATTTTGTACCTGTTAATCCTGATGTTTCACCTTTACTATAAATAAAATTCTATCTGTGGGAGCCCATTACATCAGTGTTTTGAAATGCAGAGTTTAGTAAATGAATTAGACTTATTTGTGCCCTGAAAGAACTGAAGGCTGGACTTAGCCAGATTTCTTGACAGCACCACAAGCTGCCAAAGAGTTGAAACTGACTTGAATATTGGTTAAGTCCATGTGTCTTAGAAATGAGCAAAAAAAGTAAGATGTGTTTCAACTATGACCTAGCTAAGGACATTCTAAAGAAAGTCAGTCTCTGAAGATGAACCCCTCCGCTTTTCTCCTGATGCTTAAAACTTTTCTTAAAGGTTAGGTGGCTTTTAAAAAATAACTCATGTTTACTTTATGTGCATTGATGTTTTGCCTGGCTATATGTCTGTGTGTAGGTGTCAGATCTTGGAGCTGCTGTGTGGTTGCTGGGAATTGAACCCAAGTACTCTGGAAGAAGCATTCAGTGCTCCTAACTGCTAAACCATCTATCTAACCCCAGTGTTTTTTATTTTTAATACAGCTTCATTAGAACTATATGAGTTAATGCCTGCATTCAAATGTGTGTAAAAATTTTTATTCTCCCTCTAGTTTGGGGAGGTTTTTGTTGTTGGTTTGTATTTTTTGATTTTTTTTTTAAGATTTATTTATTTAAATTATATATGTGAATCCACTGTCGATGTTATCAGACACACCAGAAGAGGGCATCAGATCCCAGATCCCATTACAGATGGTTGTGAGCCATCATCTGGTTGCTGGGAATTGAACTCAGGGCTTCTGGAAGAGCAGTCAGTGCTCTTAACCGCTAAGCCATCTCTCCAGTCCTAGTTTTGATTTTTTGAAGGTTTTCTGTGTAGCCTTGAACTATACTAGAACTTGTTCTGTTGACCACGCTGGCTTAAAACTCAGATTGCCCACCTCTGCCTCCCAAGAACTGGGATTAAAGGCATGTGCCACTACTACACCTATTTTTGTTTTGTGTTGAGACAGTCTTTCTATGTAGTCTTGGCTGTCCTAGGGCTCGTAATATAGACCCAACCAGGCTGGCCTTGAACTCACAGAGATCATCCTGCCTCTGCTTCACGGGTGCTAGGATTAGACTTATGTGTTACAATTCCTAGTTCGGTATTTTCTTGGTATATAGCAAGTCTGCTATTCTTACCAATTGTTTTTGTGCTCAACCTTGAGAAAATTTATTTGTTTGTTTGTTTATTACCAGTAGTAAATTTTAGCTAAGGAAATACGCGCTTATTGTTTTGAAACAACTTTTTTCTGAGCTTATGTAACTATCTTTATTATATGCCAATTGTTTCAGAGACTGAAATTGCAAAGGGTTAGTGTTCAGTAGCTTTGAACTAGCTTGTCTCAGTGGGGCTTATTAATACCTAATTGACACTTAGAGGAACAGCCCTTATTACTTAACATTAAAAATATTTGATCTTTGAAAACTGTGTACCTTTTTACTATTCAACAAAAAATTCTGTGGCCTTTGTTTTGGATACATATATTGCTTTTACTAAGAGGTTTAATCAACATCAATGAAAATTAGACCAATGTTTCCTAAAGATAGTTCTGAAACTTTTTTTCATGTCACTGTTTTTTTTTTCTATTATACAGGAAATTCTTTATTTCTGTAATGAAACCTCACATATTTAATAGTGTTACCTCTGTACAAATGGAATCAGAAGATTTGATGTTTCTAGACCAGGCTCTTAATTTCTGTACATTCCCATTATTCAACTCACTATGCATTCTTAGATGTGTGTTTTCTGTTTCATGAATCCTTAAATGTCATTTGTTTTTGAGTTACTTGGTGCTGTGATTGACATTTCTGTTAGATTTATATACTATATTTCTATTTATTTAGAAATAGAAAGCCAAGTCACTGGTTCTCCCCGTCATTGTGTGAATGGTTTCCACCTTTCTCATTTGGCCCTGAGAGCTGTGGTTTGGTTTAGGTTTTTAAGAGAAATTCTTGGGTTCAAATAGTCCTCTGATTTACTGCCCAGCCTGACGCCCTTTTGCGGTAAACTCAAAAATCTTTTTCTTGTGAGGGGGATAGCATTTGAGATATAAATACAAAAATAAATTTAAAAACTAAACTGTTCTTGCTGGACAGTAACGGAAGGAGATTGAGACTCAACATTTCTTTTGTTGTTGTTGCCATGGTCTCACTATGTAGCCCTGGCTGACCTTGGAACTTGCTATGTAGAACTGGTGGTCCAAAATTTGTAGAGCCCACCTGTCTCTGCTTCCTAAGTATTGGCACTAAGGTATGTGATACCATGCCTGACCAAATTTCTTTCTTTCTTTTTTTTTTTTTAATTTTTAATTTTTGGTAGCAGGACTAGGTAACAAGGTTTTACTTTGCAACTTAAATGTACCTCATCCTCTTATGTTCTCAAATCACAAGAGTATATATCCCTGTAGGGCTGGAGAGATGAGAAGGCTCAGTGGTTTACACTGCTGCCTGATCTCTTAGAGGACCGGAGTTCAGTTCCCAGCACTCACACGGCAGCTCACAACTGTCTGTAGCTGCAGTTCCGGGGATCTGACATCCTCACAAGACATGCATGTAGGTAAAATGCCAGTGCACATGAAATAAAAATATATAAATGGAAAAAATAAATAAAATTCTGAAAAGGAATGCACCCCCATAGTTGATTCAGACTAAACTTTACACAGTGAGGATTTTATACCTGGTCTTTCTATGCTTGGTGCATTTAGGATGCCTTCCTCCTTTTCACGTCTGACAGCTAGATGGTACTTGATCAGAGTGTCGCCAGCCGCCATTTCTTTTATTCTCTTTTTTTTTCCCCTCAAATATGAGTTCATTACTAACTGGATTTTGTTCAATTTCACTTCACAAAACTACAAATTTTCAAGTACAATAGAAAGGAGACATGCTTTCCCAGTAATGTAGTGACTGTTACTATGTGTCCCTAACTCATTTCTACCTTTTTCTTTTTTAGGAATGGTGGACTCATCTCTGGTTGAACGAAGGCTTTGCATCCTGGATTGAGTATCTTTGTGTAGACCACTGCTTTCCAGAGTATGATATCTGGACTCAGTTTGTTTCTGCAGATTACACCCGTGCCCAGGAGCTTGATGCCTTAGATAACAGCCATCCTATTGAAGTGAGCTATACTTTGCAACCATTTCAGTGAAATAAATAATTTGTTATGTCTCAGGATGTTTAGGATTCTGAAATGCCCCCTCCACCCCCCACAAAAAAAAACCACCTGCATGGGTGATTTATTTATTTATTTTTAGACTAAGTTCTAAGTAACATTTCTCTTTAAGGTAGGGAATATAAAGAATTTTTTTGTAAAGGCAGGGACTATGGGTATTTTTATTGACCAATAGGAAAGCAGTCTATTGCGCAATACTCTAGACTGCTCCAAGAACCGCTGTAGACAAGTTCTCTGTGCACATCGCTTCTCTGTGTACATAGGCCACTGTCCCCACTGCTCCTCTGCTTCTGTCTGCTGTTTGTCTTGTCTTTATCCTTAAAGTTTTTTTGTTTTCTTTTTTAAACTTTGTTTTTTATTGACAGATTGGGCTTTTTTAAACTTTTTGTTTTGCTTATTTTTGTATGTGGGGGGTTTTGAGATAGGGTTTTTCTCTATGTAGCCTTGTTGCTCTGTAGACCAGGCTGGCCCCCAACTCAGCCACTTGTTTCTGTCCCCCAAGTGCCAAGGTTATGGATGTGCACCATCATTTCTGACTTTGTTTTACTTATTTTATCTGTGGTTGAGAGCATTTGCCCGGTCTGTGTTGATACCAGAGAACTTCAGAGAACTTCTGAGAGTCGGTTCTTTTTCTCATTCCACTGTAAGTTTTGGAGATCAGACTTAAGTTGTCAGACTTTTGTGGCTAGCTCTTTTACCCATTAAGCCATCTCGTAAGCTTTCTTTTGTTGTTGTTTTGTTTGTTTTTTGAAATAGAATTTTGTTATGTTGTTACTCTGGCTTGCCTAGAACTTACTGTGTAGATTGGGCTGGCATCAAAGTCATGGACGATATTCCTCTTTTTGCTTCCTGAGAGCTAGGAGTGAGCACCATACCTGGCTAGCTCTTGAGGGTTATAAGTTTGTGTCTGAATGACTGGAGTTACAGTCCTGCTTTGTCTTTAACCATTGCTCTCCCCCTTCCTACACTGCACCTTTTAACAGACTCTCCGGTTTGTGCTGACCCCAAACCCTAACCTTTCAGTGCACTTTGTAATTTTGCTACTGTTAATTGTAATTTAAATATCTGATATGTAGGATATCTGGTATTTGACACCTGTGAAAGGGTTATTCAACCTCCAGAGGGGTTGTGACTCACAGGTTGAGAACTGCTGTTTTAAACTATTAATAAATATATATAAGTGTGTGTGTGTGTGTGTGTGTGTGTGTGTGTGTGTATGTATACATAAAATTATATTAGTGGAAGAAATCAAATTGTTTTCATTTAAGAATAAATGGAACGTTAACAGCTTGACTTTGATCAAAAGAGAGAATCTAGGCTGTGAACAATAACAGGGAATTTGAAAGGCTATATACTGTTTTATTTAGGTTAGTTATTCTTACTTTTTTTGAGGATTGTCATACTTTTATGAGTAAGTTAAAAGAAGAATATCATAAGATAGAAGGGTTTTCCTAGAAGGCTTTTTATGTAATTCAGTGTTACAGGCTGTCTGCTTCCTGTCATAACCCTGAATCACACTGTCTGCCAGGTCAGTGTGGGCCATCCGTCTGAGGTTGATGAGATATTTGATGCTATATCATATAGCAAAGGTGCATCTGTAATCCGAATGCTACACGACTACATTGGCGATAAGGTAAATAATAATTCCAATCCTGTATCATGAAATCACAGTTTTAAAGTATGAATAAAATTTTGATGTGATCTTTAGTTTATTGACATTTCTTTTTATATTGGTTGTTAAAGGTTCCCAGAAGAATGATATACAAGTTAGTATGTTTGTGGTAAGAATGGGAAGCTAGCCGGGCACTGGTGGCTTATGCCTTTAATTCCAGCACTTGGGAGGCAAAAGCAGGCAGGTCTCTTTCAGGCCAGCCTGGCGTATAGAGTGAGTTCTAGGACAGCCAGGGCTACACAGAGAAACCTGTCTCAAAAGAACAAAACAAAACAAAGAATAGGAAGCTGCTATACAACTTACAAGCAGTTGGACATGTAAGGCTAGCACTGGGAGACAGTGGCCAGCCTGCTCTACACAGTTTTGCAGCCAGTCAAGGCCACATAGTATCTGTATTAGTTAATTTTCTGATGATGTGACAAAATACCATGACCAAGATAACTTCTAGAAAAAAGCTTTTAATGGGATTTACAGTTCCAGAGGGATAGGAATCCATCACCGTTATTGAGGAGCATGTGGTAAGCAGGAACTGGGGTAGTAGCTGAGAGCTCTCTCTTTCTTTTTTGTTTTGAGACACGGATTCTCTGTGTATCACTAGCTATCCTGAAACTCACTTTGTAGACCAGGCTATCGTTGGACCCAGACACTCAGGCGTTGGCCTGCCTCCGGTGTGCTGGGTGTATAAGTGATTGTTGGGAATAAAAGCATGCACAACCACTGCTGGCTAAGAACTATCTTGAGACACAACCACTAGCCAGAGAGAGCCAGAGGGGAATTGCAAGAGTCTTTTGAAAACTAAAAGGCTGAAGAGATGGGTTAAGAGCACCCACTACTATTCCAGAGGTCCTGAGTTCAATTCCCAACACCCACATGGTGGCTCACAATCATCTGCAATGGTATCTGATACCCTCTTCTGGTGTGTCTGAAGACAGCAACAGTGTGGTCACATACATAAAATAAATCTTTTTTTTTTTCTAATTGTTTAAAAAAAAACAAAACTAAAAGTCTTCACCTGTTAACACACTTCCTCCAAGAGCCACAACTCCTGATCCTTCCCAAGCAGTTCTACCTACTAGGAATCAACATTTCAAACATAGGGACCTATGGGAACCATTCTCAAAACACCACACTGTTGGGGCAGGAGAGATGGCTCAGCGGTTAAGAGCACTGACTGCTCTTCCAGAGGTCCTGAGTCCAATTCCCAGAAACCACATGGTGGCTCACAGCCATCTGTAATGGGGGATCTGATGCCCTCTTCTGGTGTGTCTGAAGACAGCAACAGTATACTCACATACATAAAATAAATAAATCTTTAAAAAACAAAAAAACCCCACCACACTGTTAAGTAAATAAGGCACCACATTGAAAAGCAAAGGTAGAAGACAATTTTACTCTTAGATAAAACTTAATGGGCTTCAAAAGGATGCATGCCTTTCAACATATCTGATATTTTAGTAATTGAGTATATTTACTTTTGATTAATATGTGTATCTGCTATAAATTCTGAGATCTGACTCACTTATTTAAAATCGTATTTTTTCAGGACTTTAAGAAAGGAATGAATATGTATTTAACCAAGTTCCAACAAAAGAATGCTGCAACAGGTAATCTTTGCTTTTTTTAAGATTTATTTATACTATATATTTTAGTATACTGTCTTTCACACACACCAGAAGGGGTCATCGAGTCCCATTACAGATGGCTGTGAGCCACCATGTGGGTGCTGGGAATAGGAATTGAACTCAGGACTTCTGGAAGAGTAGTCAGTGCTCTTAATCTCTGAGTCATCTCTCCAGCCCCTTGTTTTAGTTTTTTCTTTTTTTTTAAGTTTTAGTTTTTAGTTTTTCAAGACAGGGTTCCTCTGTGTAGCCCTGGCTGTTCTGGAACTCACTCTGTAGACCAGGCTGGCCTCGAACTCAGAAATCTGCCTGCCTCTGCCTCCTAAGTGCTGGGATTAAAGGCGTGCGCCACCACTGCCTGGCTCCTTGTTTTAATTTTTATCTACCCCCTTGCTTTCCCATTTTTGTCATGCTGGAGATCACACTGAGGACTTTATGCATACAGTGCTCATGCTCTACCAGACTGAGCTGCACTCTGGCCTCAGAGGTCATATTGAGTAACTTGAAGTAGAAATACACATAAAGAAAGGCCCTGAGTTTGAGTTCAGCAGCAGACCATGGGCTGCTGGAGGTAAAGTGTCATTCCACACAGGACCGTTCGTTTGTGATGACTCGTTACAGATACAGCGCGTGAAGACATGGACTGAACTTTGAGCTACAAAACCTATTATTTATTGTTTTTATTCCAGCTATTTATGACACTTCATATGCTTAAGCTACCATGGATCTTTTTCATTGTCTTATAGAAACTTACTGCCTGTCGGTGTTCTTCCTAAATCCATGACTTTATGATCTCTCTGTTAGAACTTTATGATTTGTTTTCTAACCCAGAAGTTAGAGATTTGCTCTGCATCATCTCTCTCTTGCCTGCCTGCCTGTGCCTGCCTCCTTCCTTCCTTCTTTCCTTCTTTCCTTCTTTCCTTCCTTCCTTCCTTCCTTGTTCAATTTTTAAAAAATTATTGTATGTATGTATGTATGTATGTATGTGTGTGTGTGTGTATGTATGTATGTATGTATGTATGTATGTATGTATAAGACAGGGTTTCTCTGTGTAGCCCTAGCTTTCCAGAACTCACTCTGTAGACAGGCCTGGTCTGGAACACAGAGATTGCCTGTCTCTGCCTCTGCATGCCTTTTCGTAAGCTCTCCTGCCCTGGGTACCTTAGTTCTTGCTTATGTTTTTAGTGTCATCTCTCTATTTTTCTGTACTTTGTTGTTTTAGAACTTACTGAACATATTGCTGTCAATAATTTCTTTTTTGTTTATTTATTTGTTTTTTATTTTGTTTTTTGAAAATTGGGTTCCTTATATAGTCCTGGCTATCCTAGAACTTGCTGTAATGGTTAAAGGTCTATATTGGATGCCATTTCTAGGTTGCCACCTAGTCTTTTTTGGGCTTTTGTTTTTTAATCATCAGTGTGTGCATTCCATACATGTGGAAGTCAGAGGACACTTTTTGAGAGCTTATTCTCTCCTGTCATTGAAGGTGAGAACAGAGCTCTGGTTTTAGGCTTCTGTAGCAAGTGCTTTTACCTACAAGCTCCACCCTAGTTTTGATTTAACATTTTTTTTAGTATTTTAATTATGTGTACGTACCTGTGTGTGCGAATGGTTACATGAGTACACATTTCCTCCAAAGTCCAGAGGCATCAGATTCCCCCTAAAGCTGGAGCTGTGTTGTTGTTGTAACAGCCTTGCATGAGTGTTAAGAACTTAATTTGGGTTCTTTGCAAGAATTCTATGTGCTTAGCCATTGAGTCATCTCCAACCCAATCCCCAAATTTTACATACCATTTTTTTACAAGTATTTATTATAGTTAATACTTTTTTTTTTTAAAGATTTATTTATTTATTATATATGAATACACTGTAGCTGTCTTCAGACACACCAGAAGAGGGCAGCGAATCTCATTACGGATGGTTGTAAGCCACCATGTGGTTGCTGGGATTTGAACTCAGGACCTCTGAAAGAGCAGTCAGTGCTCTTAACCACTGAGCCATCTCTCCAGCCCCCTAGTTAATACTTTTTATAGAGAGAGAATCAAAACTAGCAGGACGCGCTCATGCACAGCAGTTCACATTGTCAAATACTGGAGTTTTCACAAAGTCTGAAAATTTCCTTTTAAACATCTATTACAATTGAATCTTTCTATGTGACTTAATCTCCTGACTTTATACAAGAATTAATTGTCATCTTATATGTTTTCATGGAACTTATTACTTATTTGTTCATTGTTTCTCTAAAAAATATGGCTAAGACCTGGCCTGTTTACACACTATCTTTAACTAGCCCAAGATTCAAAAAGTAGGCTTGCATGGCTAGCCAGGAAGCCCTGGGTCTCTGCCTCTCTCCACCTCCCCAGGGCTGGGATTGCAATGCACACCACAGCCTCAGCTTTTAAGTGCTTCTAGGATCAAACTCAAGGCCTCGGGCTTGCATAGCAAGCATTTCATTTATCTGCTTTCCTTCCAGCATGGCGTACGTTTATGCTGCCATTCTGCTTTCCCTCTGTTACCAGTGAAATTTAACCAAACTCGTTTTATTTCAGTTCCATTCACATTGAATATATTTAAACCTAGACTAATGAATATCAACAAGTTTGTCAGTGAATGTTTAATGAGCTTATACTTGTTCCTGCTTGTCTTATTTATGATCAGTTTTAATTTTCTTGTTTATCAGAATGATTAAGTTTGTTTTAGAAAAAAAGTCTAGGTGTTTTGTCTGTATGTGTGTGTGGAGAAGCCAAGGATCAATGTTGAATGGCTTCTTCAGTTGCTCTCTGCCTTACTTTTTTTCAAGGAAGGGTGTCACTAAACCTGGACCTTAACCAATTAGGCCAGTCTCTGCCACCAGGAGCCCTCTTGTCTCTGCTTCCTAGTACTAGGATTATAATGCTTCCCTCGCACCCCCCACATTTTTTTGGTTTTGTTTTTGAGACAAGATCTCCCTACATAGTCTAGCTGTCCTGGAAACCACTATATAGATCAGGCTAGTCTCAAACGTAGAAAAGTCCTCATTCTTCTGCCTCCCTTTTGCTGGTATTAAGTGCACTGCCACACTTGGCCCATGCTCCCAGTTTCCTTATGGGTGCTGGGTGAAGGGCATCTGAACTCAAGATCTTGTGCTAGTATGGCAAGCACTTGACTGAGTCCCCAGAAACAGTCTTTTGTAGAATTTACTTAGTTGTGCCACTATGGATAGAGCATTTGTTTGAGCCTCTGTATGATGGACCTAACAGTTGGTAAGGCGTGCAATGTAAAACGTCTGTGGATATTTGATACAGGAAATAAACATTTCTGGTTGCTGTTTTCATTTACCTTGTAGAGGATCTCTGGGAAAGTTTGGAAAGTGCCAGTGGCAAACCCATAGCAGCTGTGATGAATACCTGGACCAAACAAATGGGATTCCCTCTCATTTACGTGGAAGCGGAACAGGTAAGCCTATTGGAATCCTTGCTGGGGCCGGGCAGCAGAGGCAGGCGGATTTCTGAGTTCGAGGCCAGCCTGGTCTACACAGTGAGTTCCAGGACAGCCAATGGGCATGCATATAGAAAAACTTTTTTTTTCTTTCTGAGACCAAATATCACTCTGTAGTGCTAGCTGGTCAGGATCTCTTAAATTCTAAAATGCATGATATCCATAACCCATAATATCTATTTTCTTTAAATTCTTTTCATCTAATCATAAATTTTTAAAAATTATTCTTTCATGTGGCTGGATGTTTGCCGGAGTGCATGTCTCTGCATCATGTGTGTGCCTGGCAGCCCTGAAGGCCATAAGTGTGTGCCTGGTAATCCTGAAGGTCATAAGTGTGTGCCTGGCAGCCCTGAAGGCCATGAGAGGGCAATGGAATCCCTTGGAACTGGAGTTACAGATGGTTGTGAATTGTCGTGTGAACACTGGGGATTAAACCAGGCTCTCTGGAATGAAGGACTGCCGGTGTTTTTTGTATGTAGCTCTGAGCTATGTCTTCAGCTTGGATTTTTTTTATTTTAATTTTTACTCATTCATTTATTTGTGATGCTGTGTATTGAACCTAGAACTTTTTCTTTCTTACTTGTTTGCTTGCTTGTTTGCTTTTTTTTTTTTTTTTTTTGTTTGTTTGTTTTTTTTTTTTGAAACTGGGTCTCTCTCTGTCTAGCCTCAGCTGGCCTAGAACTTCTAGAGATCTGCCCGCCTTTCCTCCCCAATGATGGCTTGTGCCACTATGCCTGGACATCAGTTCTGTTTCTTGTACTTAGTTTACTTTCTAAGGTCATTATTTGTTTCGTTTTACATTTGATTTAAGTAAGTTCAAATCTGTTAGTATGTGATCTTTGAAATATCCCAGAATGCAGTTAGTGGTGAGCAGCGAGGCCAGTGACTGCCTGCTTGTTGAATGCTTTTTTCCTTTGGTGGTGCTGAGTGTGGGTGAATCCATAGTGTAAGTGTGTGTGCTTCTGAGTGTGAAGGACAGAGGTCAATGGGCTGTCCACTTTGATTTTTGACAGGGTCTTTCACTGGGTCCTGGGATTTGTTAGTTTGGCTGGGTTGGCTAGACAGCAAGCTCCAGGGAACCTCTGCCTTGCAGACACTGGGATTATCACACCCCAGTCTTTACATAGGTACTAGGGATTAAACTTAGGTCCTGGAGCTTGCATGGCAGGTATATTGCATGGCAAGTGAGTTATCATCTTATTCAAAGTATTTTTTTAAATATTTAGATATTTTATGTATGTGAGTATACTTTCCCTCTCTTCAGATATACTGGAAGTGGGTATTGGATGGTTATCAGCCACCATGTGGTTGCTGGGAATTGAACTCAGGACTTCTGGAAGAGCAGTCAGTGCTCCTAACCGCTGATCCATCTTTCCAGCCCTCAAAGTATTTTTTAAACACATAAGCTATTACTTTTGATTCTGTAGACTTGCAGTCACCCCTACCTTCACTTTTTTTTCTTTTTAAGACATTTAAAAATAAATTTAAATACCTCATTACATGCACATGGATATGGGGCCATCACTGGAACATGAATAACCTACCAGGGGCCACATCTCTGGAGAAAATTGAAAGCAGCTCCTTATCAGCTAGGAGTGTGGCTCATGATCCCCTTCCTCAAGAGTGACTTTCTTTTCCTATTCTCAGGATTCTCATCTCATCACAGAAAATAATTTGTACTGCTTTCCTGACTATATTGTCATAGAAACACTCCCACCCAAAGTCACCGTTGTCATTACAGCCTATGCTTTGCCTCTTTAGGTAGAAGATGACAGAGTACTGAAGCTGTCTCAAAAGAAGTTCTGTGCCAGTGGACCATATGTCGGTGAGCAAATATGCTCTCAGAGGAAACTAATCAGTAAATTTGGGTTCCTTACTAGTAGTTTTCAAAATAAGAGTAAACATGTTATTTTTTATTTGTCTAGTTATACTTTGGATTTAGTTTTATTTATTTTATATATGTGTGTGTGTGCCTGCCTGTCTGAATGTGCACCAATTATGTGCACATTATGAGGAGGCTGAAAGAGGTCATTAGATCCCCTAGAACTACACTTATAGGTAATTGTTAGCCACAGTCTAGGTGCTAGGAGTTGAACCGAGGTCCTTTGGAAAAGCAGCCAATGCTCTTACCTGCTGAGCCATCACTCAGGCCTAATCTTTAAAATTGTATGTCTAGGACCAGGCTGCGGTGCCACGTGCCTTTAATCCCAGAATTTGGACATTAGAGGCAGACAGATCTCTGAGTTCAAGGGTAGCCTGGTCTTGCCAGGGAGTTCCACAACACCTAGGGCTACACAGAGAAACCCTGTCTTGAAAACCAACAATAAAATGTTTAGCTCTCTTATTGAGAGAGAATAAAAAAAGAATTGGAATACACTAAGAAATAAATGTAAGGCAATGATTCTCAACTTTCCTATTGCTGCAACCCTTTAATACATACAGTTCCTCTTGTTGTGGTGACCCCAACCATAAAAATTTTTATTGCTACTTCATAACTAATTTTCTATTATGAATCATAATGTCAATATGTGATATAAAGGATATCTGATTTGTGACCCCTATGAAAGGGGTCATTCAACTCCCAAGTGAATTGAGGCCCACAGGTTGAAAACTGCTGCTCTGAGGACTTACTATGTTAGTTTTTGTTTTGTTTTTTAAGTGATTGGGCTTAATACGTATTAAGCCAGTGATGCTTGTCTTTACTTACCATTATCCTAGGCACTGCAGTTGCTTCTTATTTTATTTTCTCAGCATAGAGTAGTGCTTCTCTTTTACACATAATAAAAGCTGAGGTGTGGCTAACAGAAGTTAAATTGTTCAGTCAGGTTGGTGTGGTGACGCACACTATTAGTCACAGCCCTTCGGAGGCAGAGGCAGGAAAATCTCTGTGATTTTTGAGGCCAGCCCGGTCTACAGAGTGAGTTCTAGGACAGTCAGGGCTACGTTTGCTCCAAGTCACCTATGTAATGAGTTTAGAAGAGTGGAAATTCAAATAGGATAGTTGAAGTCCCCCAGTTTGTCCAAACTACTGCTGCCTTCTCGAATAACTGTGTCATCAAGCCCTTTTTTAACCAATAAAATTTTAACCAGGCAATTGAATTTTAATTTCATTTTCTTTAGAATAGTAGTCTCAGTACAGGGAGGTAGGGGGGGTTTATGTGTACCTGCCTCTCTGTCACCACTGTCCTGTCGTTGTGTTCACAAGATCCAGGTAAAGAAGAATAGCCTTCTGCCCTTCACTGTCTCACTTTGAACTACTCTTCTCAGTGGAGGCCATGGATTTGATATCCAGCATTCCTTGCCTAATGAGAAAAAGACTTAAATAAGTCTAACAACTCAGTTTATGGCTTACTATCCAATTAAATCCTTAGGTGCGACAATCGCTATTTTCTCCCTCATTTTTGTAATCTGTATTGTCATACTGACAGGTTTGCAGGTTTTTCTATCTCTAAGACCAGTGTAGGTGACATTAAAACCTCGGGTATCTCAGTGGTTTAACCTTATAAAAAGACAGTTTACTCAATGTTGATCTGTGCTGTCTTTAAATAGTTCTGTTAATATACTAAGACATAGTCTGCTTTGCTGTTTTGATATCTTCGACACTGACTTTACTTTTCAATGGCTTTGGCTTTCAGATGTGACTCCTCAGTAATGAAATAACTAGTTCCTGGGATTGGTTTTGCCCAGTGTCGCCTGAGTATGAGCCCTTTAATGGAAGCATTTTAGAACACTGACTCCTCAAGTTAGACTGTGGAGTCATTGCTGTCTTTACTGCTTTGCAAAGGGGGGAAAACATTCTCTTTTAGATGATTGTGATTATGATAGACTCTTGTTCCTTGAGGTCACCTGAAGGCATAGGTGAACGTTGAGTGTGTCTTGGTTAGAGCCTGGTGGCTTACTACCTGCTCCTTTCAGTGTAACCTTGTATTCCAAGTGTTGTATTTGTTCTCTTCTTGCTTAGGTGATGACTGTCCTCAGTGGATGGTTCCTATCACAGTTTCAACTAGTGAGGACCCCAGCCAGGCTAAACTGAAAATACTAATGGATACGCCAGAGATGAGTGTGGTTTTGAAAAATGTCAAACCAGACCAATGGGTAAAGGTGAGTCCAGAATGCCATAGCTATTTTTACTTTATCGGAAATGATTTATTTCTCTTACTTCTATGTCTTTGTGGCTGACTCTGAATTGTAAGTTTTTCAATTTAGACTAGTATTTTCAAAGGAAACACATTTTTAAATAGAAGGAAAGAATGAAAAATAGAAGTTAACTGGGTTTGGTCATGTACACCTGTAACCCCAGCACACAGCAGACTGAGACAGGATGTTAAAGTTTGAGGCTAGCCTAGGCTAGTGAAACTCTGTTTCAAAAAAAGGAAACAAAGCAAAGTAAATAGTACACTGGTTTAGAACATCTGTAGTCTTGTAGCTACAATTGCCTTCTTTTCTAAAAAGCCAGTCTTTGGTGGATATCTGTGAGTTTGAAGCCAGCTTGGTCTACAGAATGAGTTCAAGGACAGTTAGAGTACACAGGACAGTCTTGAAAACCAGCCAAGCTACCCTACCTGTTAGCCTTAGGTCTGTGTTGTCCTCATATAACTTTCCTCAAATAAGAGTAGAAATAGATAAACATTTGTTTGTTACTGGAATGTGAAAACATCAATAGATAAGTTATTTTTACTTTATAAAAAAATTTGCTGCAGGTTTTTCTTTTTTTTTTTTTTTTTTTTTTTTTCTTTTTTTGGTTTTTTCGAGACAGAGTTTCTCTGTATAGTCCTGGCTGTCCTGGAACTCACTCTGTAGACCAGGCTGGCCTCGAACTCAGAAATCCGCCTGCCTCTGCCTCCCAAGTGCTGGGATTAAAGGCCTGCACCACCACTGCCCGGCTGCTGCAGTTTTTTCTTACAATTATAGGTTATCCCAAAATTTTAATTGCTAAGAAACAACCATTTTTCTATTTTAATATTTAAAATATACTCTGGAATATATTAGCTTTTGAAATTATGATCTTGAAGATTAAGTAGCCATATGGAATTTTCTCATAAATTAGAAAAAGTTATGTACACTGTGATTGTAATTAAGTATATAAAGATATAGTTCCTACAGTAAAAGATGAAAGAAATTCAAAAGAATTGGATTGGAATTGTTTAATTAGTTTAAATAATTTTTTATTATTTATTCTTGTCTTATGTGCATTGGTGTTGTGCTTGCATGTGTGTCTGTGTGAAGGGGTTGGATGCCCTGGAATTGGAGGTAAAGACAAATAGGTACACTGGGATGTGAACCCGGGTCCTCTGGAAGAGTAGCCAGTGCTCTTAACCACTGAGCCATCTCTCCACTCCCTACTTTTACAATACTTCTATGTAGAAAACGTTATAATTTTATTTTACCTATGTTTGTTTGCTTGCTTTTCCAGACAAGACTTTGCTCGGTGGGCAAATACTTGAGAAACATGTATGATTCCATGAGTTTGATCCTCATCACTACCCCCAAATTTTTTTTTCTTCTTTGTTTTGCGATGTTGTTGTTGCTGCTGTTGCTGCTGCTGCTGTTGCTGTTACTATTGCTGTTTTGGAGCAGGGTCTCACTATGTAGCTGTAACTGCCCTGGAACTCGGTACATAGTGCAGGTTGACCACCATACCCACTCAAAAATATCTTTTACATGGATTGGCTGGGGCCGGAGGGATGGCTCAGTGCTTCAGAGCACTGGCTGCTCTTCCAGAGGTCCTAAGTTCAATTCCCAGCGCCCATAATGCTGGCTCACAACCATCTGCAACGAGATCTGATTCCCTCTTCTTATCTGTGTAATTACAAAACACTCATATTAAATAAATAAATAAATAATTTTATAAAATAAAAAAAGAAAATGAAGTGGCTGATCGTGGTCCTGCTTACCTTTCTTTAATCCCAGCACTCAGAGGCAGGCAGATCTCTTGAATTTAAGGTCAGTTTGTTCTACATAGTAAGTTCCAGGATAGTCAGGACTACATAAAGAGAACCTGTCTCACGAAAAGTGAGAAGAAAGGAAGTGGTTAATAGTATTTATTGGCTCTTTTCAGCTAAATCTGGGAACAGTTGGGTTTTATCGAACCCAGTACAGCTCTGCCATGCTGGAAAGTTTATTACCAGGCATTCGTGACCTTTCTCTGCCACCAGTGGATCGGCTTGGATTACAGAATGACCTCTTTTCTCTGGTGAGCACTCTCCCACTTAGGTCATATGATGCATTTTGTTGGTTAAAGGGTATGATGGTTAAATGTATAAAAAAATATTAGAAAAATATGGTCCTTCCTGAAGATTAGCTGATTTGGGACGACCTCAAATGGCTAATTATTAATTAACATGACAAAAACCTATATCATTTGTCTGAAGCAAATTTCATTTCACTAATCCAGTTTTGTTTTGTTAACTTATCTGTGCTTAAACTGTCCTTTGTAGGGACAAAAATCCATTCTTTTAAAACAAATTGGATATGAGTCATGAAGAGATTTCCCTACTGATTCTTTTTCTTTTTTTTAAGATTTATTTATTTATGTTATGTGTGTGAGTACACTGTAGCTGTCTTCAGACACACCAGAAGAGAGCACTGGATCCCTTTATAGATGGTTGTGAGCCACCATGTGGTTGCTGGGAATTGAACTCAGGGCCTCTGGAAGAGCAGCCAGTGCTCTTAACCTCTGAGCCATCATCTCTCCAGCCCTGTCCCTGTTGATTTTTTAAACACTAATTCAGAGTGATTTTATGTTGTTTTTAAGTGGTATTTGTACTTTGCTGAAAAAGCCAGAATGTTTTAACAGTATGTTATTACTCAAATTATAGCATATCAGCCCAGAATTATATACATATTTGGCTTTGTTCCAGGAAGGATTTAAAGCAGCAAAATTCATATTGTTGTCTTTATGACTCCAGCAGGTTAGGTAATTTCAGGATGTCTTTGCCTGTGGTAAAATTATCATTCTTTCTAGTGTTCCTTTAAATTGGACCTGAAGTCTCCCTGCCCTCTGTGATTGCTGATTGGATTTCTTCTTTAAATAAATGCAGATTAGCATTGATGGACAAACCTTCCCATCTGCTGATCTCACTTCCAAGAAAGACCTGTCCCAGGAGAACGGGCTGTTTGTGCAGTTGGCTGCTAGAATAGAAGCTCTTTTTCCAACTCTTGTTAGTCAGTGCTGAGAGCACTCTGAATTCGCGAGCCTTCCCATTCATGTTCCTTTAGAAGTGAGTGAAGGAGAAGCTCAAGTTGCACAGTCTGCAGATTCAGCCCTGAAAGAGCCTTTGTCAAGAACCAGAGTCCCAACTTCTTTTTGCAACTTTTCTCAAAGTATAAGACATTTAAAACATCAAAGTGATGCTCTAGAAACTGAGTAGAAACAAGGAGTTAACTGGTTTTTATTGGTCCCAAATTAGGAGGTTCAATGTAAGGTTTTTTTTGTTTTTGTTTTTTGGTTTTTTTTGTTTTTTTTTTTTAACAAATAGCAAAGAAATTAACAAAAGATGTTGTCATGATAGGATTTTTATTCTAACAGTATTCTGAACTTACTTAGCCTCATTTTCTTAAACCGAGAAAATTGCTAGCAGTAGATAATGCCAACATACATGCTTGTTTTATTTTGACTTGTGTAATTTGAAGGCTGAGCTAATTCGTGTTTTTTCCTATCCCAGGCTCGAGCTGGAATCATTAGCACTGTAGAGGTTCTAAAAGTCATGGAGGCTTTTGTGAATGAGCCCAATTATACTGTATGGAGCGACCTGAGCTGTAACCTGGGGATTCTTTCAACTCTCTTGTCCCACACAGACTTCTATGAGGAAATCCAGGAGTTTGTCAAAGATGTCTTTTCACCTATAGGAGAGAGACTGGGCTGGGACCCCAAACCTGGAGAAGGTAATAGATGGGTGTATGGGGCAGGCATCTGAAGTCAGTGCTTTCTATTCATGTGTGGCTGACAGCTAGCAGCATCTCTGTATCCAACTTGTACAGTCGATTCAGTTGGCCAGAAATGTCATGTTCTGAACCTGCTGGTGAGATTGTTACACCAGCACACAACAGTAGCTCAAGTAGCTTGGAACCATAGTGACTCTCCTGCCTCAGCATGAGTCATCACACTTGGCAGGGGCCAGCTTTCCAAAATAAGGATTTAAAAAAAAAAAAATTGTCATTTAAATGTTGAGAGTAGTGATTCGAGGTTTTAAATACAATTATTTGTTGCCATCTGCTTACTAAATGAGGTGTTTTCTCCTGAATAATCTTAATCTAGAGTTTGTTTTATGTTTTCTTCTTACAGCGCTGGGTTTAAACCTAGGGGCCTAGTCTGTGGTTTACTCTGCCAGTGATCTACTCCCAGACCTGGGATTTTTTTTTTTAAGATTTATGTATTTATTTTATGTATATGAGTACATTGTAGCTATAATCAGACACACCAGAAGAGGGCATCAAATTCCATTACAGATGGTTGTGAGCCACCATCTAGATGCTGGGAATTGAACTCAGGACCTCTGGAAATGCAGACAGTGCTCTTAACTGCTGAGACATCTCTCCAACTCCATAATCTGGGATTTTTAAAAATAAGAACAGTAGCGCGCTAGTGCCCCAACAATGCAGTTCAAGGAGTGCCTTCACCAAGCAGTTGGGGGTGCCTTCCAGCCCCTGCTTCTCCTCAGATTGTCTAAAGCCACATGGAAGATGGTGAAAAATTCACTGTGCTGTTGCCAGAAAGAACGATTTATGACTTTGTTCTTTTCCTAAGCTCACAGTTTGGCTTCATACTTTTGTGTGGGCTTTCATTCCTGAATCTTGGTTAAACTTTTAGGCTTACCTTACTGACCTCAAAAATACGAGGCAGTTGCTTTCCTGTCTACCTCCTTATCACGGTTGTAATTGTGCGGTTGTAGTTGTGCGGTTGTAGTTGTGCGGTTGTAGTTGGTTATGTGCTCTTATTTGGAATCAGCATGATGAGTACCTCTCTACTTGACTCCATTCATACAGTCAGAGATAACTGTGCTAAAAACCAACAGAGGAAAAACTACCAAGAGGACGCCGTCCCAGCGTTAAGAGACATTCCCATTAGTGAAGTAGACAAAATGTTCTTCCTAGAAGCCAAAGAACTCAACACCTAAAACTGAGCTGTGTTCTAACGCATGTTAAAACAAAACAAAACAAAAAAAGGAACAGTAATAGCATCAAATTCTCACCACTGACTTTCCTTCATGATTCAACTAATATTTATGTAACTAGTAATAGTAAAAGGCAGGTATAATTTGAAAACTGGCAGTAGAGATAAGCAAAGCATTGTCCTGTATAGCTTACATTTTAATAGGAGACATAGCAAACAAATTATATTAAGGTAATGTATACTATTACAAAAAAAATTAGCAGCCAGGACTACATAGAGAAACTCTGTCTGGAAAAAAAACAAAAACAAAAAAAAACAAGGCCGGGCGGTGGTGGCGCACACCTTTAATCCCAGCACTTGGGAGGCAGAGAGGCAGGCGGATTTCTGAGTTCGAGGCCAGCCTGGTCTACAGAGTGAGTTCCAGGACAGCCAGGACTACATAGAGAAACCCTGTCTGGAAAAAAAACCAAAAAAACAAAAACAAAAAAAAATTAGATAGTGTGAATAAGGAGTGCTAAGCCAGTATTTTATAAAATAGTTGGAGAAAAATTATCATTAATAACTGATCTTTGAGCATAATTGGAGAACTGAAAGAGAAATTCAAGAGCAGAGCAAACAGGGTCCAGACCACAGGGACTAGCAAGTAACAAGAGTCTAAGCAGGACCATGCCCAGAGTGTTCAACGAAAAACCAGAAAGCTGCTGAGGTCAACACTGGGGAAGAGGGGCTGAAGAGATGGCTCAGTGGTTAAGAGTACCATCTGCTCTTCCAGAGGTCCTGAGTTCAATTCCCAGCAACCACATGGTGGCTCACAACCATCTGTAATGGGATCTGATGCCCTCTTCTGGTGTGTCTGAAGACATGACAGTGTACTCACATACATAAAATAAATCTTTTTTTTTTTTTTTTTTTTAAAAAGACTGGGGAAGAGGTGAGAGGCCCATGGCAAGTCAGTGACTCCCTTATGCGGACGTCGACGGGAGCAAAGTTCCTTGTTTTTCACATTTTGTGACACAAGATGCTTGTTTTAAAAGTTTTGATTTTTGTCACATGATTTGATTCATGTGACAGTGAAACTGAAGGAAAACCATTTGGAGGGCTATTTGAGTATTTCACTTAAGGTGTTGGTTGCCGCTAGCACAGACAAGTGATGCATTCTCTCTGGGTTTGGAGGACTGAGTATGGTAAAAAGAAGACTCATCAGATTACGACTACTTAGGGCCGGCAGTGGGACACGCCTTTAATCCAAGCACTTGGAAAGCAGAGGCAAGTGGATGTCTGAGTTGAGGACAGCCTGGTGTACAGAGCAAGTTCCATCTCTTCTGTCTCTGTGAGGTTGAGGCCAGCCTGCTCTTCAAAGATAGTTAGCCAGGGCTAAGGAGTTAGACCCTGTGTAAAAAATAAAACACCCAAGGTTGGCCTGCCCTCCACACACATGGACACACAAATATGTACACGTGTATACACACACACACACACACACACACACACACACACACACGAGCTAGAGAGATGGCTTAGCAGTTAAAAATCCTTACAGTTCTTGCAGAGGACAAGGTTCAGTTCACAGCCATCTGTAATTCTAGTTCCAGGGAATCTGACCTCCATTCTGGTCTAAGCTATATGCTCAAATAAAATTTTTTTTCAGTACAAATACCTCTTCCATGCTCTACTACAAAGCTGTATCCCTGGTCCTTTCATGGAGGTTTTTATTACAGTGACAGTGATACTGAGTTGGGGGTATGGCTTTGGTAATTGTGCATGTCATTGGAGGATGAATCCATTGAATGTTCAGTTTAAAATCTAAGGCTTTAGTTTGTTGAATAAATAGTGTTCTAGTTCTCTGTGTGGGTCTTAAAACAACAAAACAAAGAAACTTTGGGGGCCCAGGGGCTGGAGAGATGGCTCATCAGTTTAAGGGCACTGACTCTCTTCACCAGAGGTCCTGAGTTCAATGGTTCGCTGGTTCCCAGCGACCACATGGTAGTCCATCTGTAGTGAGATCTGATGCCCTCTTCTGGTGTGTCTAAATACAGCAACAGTGTACTCATATACATAAATAAATAATTCCTTTTAAAAAAACAAAACAACAGTGCTTAGGAGGCAGAGACAGGTAGATTTCTGTGTTCGTGTTCGAGGCCAGCCTGGTCTACAGAGTGAGTTCCAGGACAGCCAGGGCTATACAGAGAAACCCTGTCTCGAAAAACCAAAAAAAAAAAAAAACAACAAAAAACTTTGAGTCAAACCTGTATGATGTAAGTCTTTCCTTTACACATTGTAGTCTTTTACAATTTGATAAATTAAATCAAGTATTTTTTTTTTTTGTAAGTCAAGTATTCTTATAAGTATTAGAGTGATGGATTGTGTTTGTTCGTAGACCGTAGACTTGGTATCACACAGTTACAAACTGTGCAGGTCGAGCATTTATCAAAGCAGGCTTCTCAAGTCACCTATGTCTTCACTTCTCCATCAGGTCATCTAGATGCACTCCTGAGGGGCTTGGTGCTGGGCAAACTGGGAAAAGCAGGGCATAAGGCAACTTTGGAAGAAGCCCGTCGGCGGTTTAAGGAGCACGTGGAAGGGAAACAGATTCTCTCTGCTGATCTAAGGAGTCCTGTAAGTTATCTTGATAAATTCCCTTGAAAGCTGAGTGTGGTAGTACACTCCTTTAATCCCAGCACTCAAGAGGCAGAGGCAGAGGCCAGCAAGTGACCCTGTCTGGAAAAAAAAAAAAAATAGATTCCATTGAATTGTAGGTATCAGTTTTAGTTTGTGAAGTTAAAAATTGGCCTAAGAACTGACACTCACCCCTGTCTGGCTGTTGTAAACAAATACTGCGTAGGTAGTTTGCAGCCAGCTTCTCCTTTGTTTCTCAAGTAGCACATGAGTGCTGCACCGTGACTGACTAGCTGCATTTCACGAATAGAACTGCTTCAAGCTATTCTCTGGACATGTCACCCCGTGTGATTATTCACCAGCACTGTGGGATTGTCTATTAGGGATTGATAACCATGGTCTGTTTGTGCATTGATATGTAACTGTAAATTTGTTTTGTTTTACCCATAGGGTCTTAGTATGTATCCCACAGAGGCCTTGAAATTACGGTCCTTTTCCTTTCTCAACCACCCCTAACCCCTAGTTCTACGACAACAGGCCTTTGCCAACATGCCCAGATTCTTTTTATCTTAGCATTAGACTATTTATGACAAAATACGTATAACTCAAATGACTTGTATTTTTCCTGGTATTCTTTTGTAGGTTTACCTTACTGTTTTAAAACATGGTGATGGCACTACCTTAGATATTATGCTAAAGGTGAGTGTGTTTGGAAAAAGCCTCCAGATTTCTGCATTTGAATTTGGATATACCCAATACTACTTATAATGGCTTGGGGAGTGGAGGAAAGCCTGGGCAAAGAAATATATGTGTTGGATTTGGCTTACTCTCAGGTAGTAAAGAGGTTGAAGCAGGACGACAGAGAGTTTAAGGTCTTCCTGGACTACAGAATGAGTTCAGGGACAGACTGGGAAACTTGGTGAGATCTTACTCAGAATAAAAAGTAAACAAAAGAGCTTTGGGAGTGGAGCACAGTCGGAAAGGAGCACGCCTGAGGCACAGCCCCATACACAGACCCTGGGGTTAGGGTTGATTTGTTGATTTTTTTTTTCCCTTCACAACTTCAGTGTCGAGCTAATCTTAACCGTGAAATGGTGATGGTTGGTCCCAGGTCCTCAAGCCTATTCTGAGACAGAGTCTCAGGTAGCCCAGGCTGACATTGAAGAGTGGCGTTGAATTTCTGATCCTTGTGCTTCAAGTGCTGAGATTACAGGTGTGCCACTATGTCCCGTTTTTTGATTGATTGGTTGGTTGGTTTTTCTGAAGCAGAGGTTCATTTTAACCCAGGCTGTGCTTCACCTCTCTTTGTACTTGACACTGACCTAGAACTCTTTATCTTCCTTGCACTTTCCCACAGTGCCAAAACTGGAGATCACAGGTGCATGTCACACCTGCCTCCACCATTTTATAAAGCAAGGTCTTACTGGGTTATTTAGGTTGCCCTTGAAAATCGATTTATGCTTTGAACTAATTCTTCTGTAGTCTCCCAACTTTCTTAATGCTTTGACCCTTTTTTTTTTTTTTAAAGATTTATTTTATTTATGAGTACACTATAGCTGTCTTCAGACACACCAGAAGAAGGCATCGAATCTCATTATGGGTGGTTGTGAGCCACCATGTGGTTGCTTGGGTTTTGAACTCAGGACCTCTGGAAGAGCAGTCAGTGCTCTTAACCACTGAGCCATCTCTCCAGCCCCGCTTTGACCCTTTAATATAGTGTCTTGTATTGTTGTGCCCTCCAACCATAAACTAATTTTTGCTACTGTTATGAATTGTAATGTAAATATCTGTATCTAATAGTCTTAGGCATCCCCTATGAAACTGTCATCCAGTACCCCTGGGGTGAGTGAGTGGGTATCAGGACCCACAGATTAAGAACCACTGGTCTAGGTGAATAAGCCAGTTTCTTTAAAACTTCTATGTGAAAGCCAGGTATAGTGGCAGTTGCCTTTAATTCTGGCACTTGGGAGGCAGAGACAGGTGAATCAAGGCCGGCCTGATCTACAGAATGAGTTCCAGGGCAGGCAGGGCTACACAGAAAAACAGAAATCTTGTCTCAAGGGGAAAGGGGAAAACAAAAAACAAAACTTTACTTCTGAGGTAAAGTTGTCCTCTGATCTGCACAAGCATATGCACACATGCAACACAAACAAAGTTGTTTTTTTTTTTTAAATCAACTTTTAAAAACTGGATAGCACTTTGCTTTGTTATATGCAAGGATCTGTGTTCCGTTCCAGCATAGGAAGGAAGAGCCAGGAGAAAGAGGGTGGGTTGGATGTCAGAAGCATTATGAGTGAACAGGAAATCAACTGACCTGTACTCACAGTTTTCTTACCATTATGAATATAAAATTAACCCTGGCTCTACAATGGTACTGATCTGCTTTTGAGTTTGAATTAATAGTAGTACTTGGGACAAGTCCCATTCCTAGTGCCTCTGCATTCATTTCCAGTCTGTTAAGAAAAATCATGACGTCTATATTAGAGGTATGAAGGTCAAAATAAGCTTACCTCTGTCATCAAATAATTATGTAAAATGTGCCTAAATACCCAAACCACCCATCAGAGTTGTGTATTCATTAAAAGATGTACACGTAAGCTAGGCATGTTAGCACACACCAGTGAGTGGAGCACTTGGAACGTAAAGCTAAGAAGATTAGGAATTCAAGATCGTCTTCAGCTACATGGAGAATTCAAGGCCAGCTGAGTTATATGAGAACCCTGTCTCAGCAACAAAAACATCCTCACTGGGTCTAGAGGGATCACTTAATGGTTAAGGGTACTTGCTGCTCTTACATAGAACCTAGGTTCGTCCCCAGCACCCATATAGTGGCTGTTCATAACTCTAGTTCTATGGGATCTGGCACTACCTTCTGGCATTTGAGGGTACCAGATGTACACACGGTACACTTACATATATGCAGGCAAACCTGTATGTACATAAAATAAAAATAAACATGCCTTTAAAAACAGATCCATGTGTCAAATAGGAATGGAATGTGCTGGTTCATAGATTAAGAGTGTTTCTGTTATCCCAGGTGGGTCAGAAAGTGTAAAAGTAAACTATCTGGGAAAATTAAGGGGGTAAGGGGGAGGGGACGAGGAAAGGCAGTAGTGAGGCATGATCAAAGTCTGTTGTATATGCTTGTGAATATGTCACAATTTGCTAGGCAGTAGTAGCACACATCTGTCATCCCAGCATTCAGGAGGCAGAAGAGGTAGGTTGATCTGAGTTCAAGGCTAACTTGATCAACAGAGCAAATTCAAGGTCAGCCAGGACTACACAGAAACCCTGTCTTGAAAAATATACATACATACATACATACATACATACATACATACTCTAATTAATTTATTCTTATTACCTTGAACTGTGATATTAAAGTGCTATCTTGTAGATGTGTTACATATTCTCTTGAAAGTTAAAGTTTAATCCTTGAATACATTGCACCTTCAAAAAAACTCAGAAAATGCCGGGCGGTGGTGGCGCACGCCTTTAATCCCAGCACTTGGGAGGCAGAGGCAGGCAGGTTTCTGAGTTCGAGGCCAGCCTGGTCTACAGAGTGAGTTCCAGGACAGCCAGGGCTACACAGAGAAACCCTGTCTCAAAAAAACAAAAACCAAAAACCTCAGAAAGCAAGAGTTGGTCACAAATTTGAGGTCAATCTGATCTACGTAAGGAGTTCTAGACTATCCAGGACTGCATAGTGAGACCCTGTCTCAAAACAAATAAATATTCTGTGTTTTGTATTTTCTTTCTTTTCTTTAAATGTGTATGAACATTTTGTGTGCATGTATGTCTTTGTCCCACATGTGTACCTGGTGTCCTGCATAGCTCAGAAGAGGACTTTTGATTCCCTCTGAAGCTAGAATTAACAAGTAGTTATGATCCACCATGTGTGTGCTGAGAACCAAACCCAGGCCCTCTGCAAGAGCAACCAGTTCTCTTAACTTCGGAGCTGTCTAGCTCTCTCTCTTAACTCCAAATAATCTTATGTGACTTCCAGGGGCTGACAAGATGGGTTTGTGGGTAAAAGGCTTGCTGCACAGCAAGAGGACCTTAGTTTGGAAGTCATGTGTAAGAGCCAGGTGCAATAGTGCACATCTTTGTAACCCAGCACAGTAGGCAGACGTATTCAGGAGCTTACAGCCCAACTAGTCTAGGTGAAACTGCAAGTTCCAGGTTCATTGACAGATCTTGACTCCAAGAAACAAGGTGGACAGCAATACAGGAAGACTCTTGACAGCAGCCTCTCCCCTCCACAGGTGCACACACAGGGGAGCGAGCTGCAAACATGAGCACCTGTACACAGACACAAATTTTAAGCAACATTCTACGATATGTCTTTTTGTTTTGTCTTTTTATGTAATACATTAGTCAGGAGTCAGTGATGTAAAGAATCTGGCCATGGCAGACCTACTCTTTAGATCTTGATGTTAGATTCTAGAACTGAAGCATTCTATTTGACTACTCCACACCTACATCTAGTGGCTCACTGCTGTGCCAGATGTAGGGTTAGTGCCCAACCACAATAGCAAAGTACTAAGTGATGTAGTGTCCCACCAGTCTTGCCCAGTGAGAAGGCAGAGCAGAAGTTCACCTCATTGGAAGAGAAGCGTGTATGAACATGCATAGAATTCAGGAAAGAGCTGACTGTTCTTCTTTATCTTTTCCCTGTAGCTTCACAAACAAGCTGATATGCAAGAAGAGAAAAACAGAATTGAAAGAGTTCTTGGGGCTGCTCTTTCACCTGAACTGATTCAGAAAGTCCTCACTTTCGCACTTTCAGTAAGTTATGAGTCACATTTCAAGAGAACTACTGTGGAGCCATGAGGTGGTGGGCACGCCTTTAATCCCAGCACTCATGAGGCAGAGACAGGAGGAGCTCTGGGTTTGAGGCCAGCCTGGTCCACAGAGTGACGGCTAGGCAGAGATGCTCTGTCTGGAAAAACAATAACCAGAAGAGAACTGCTGTTAGGTGGTACCTGTCAGGCTCTGACTCAGCACACGCCTCATGTTGGAAGAAGCTGCTCGGAGCTCCTGGTTTTGTTTGGTTTTCAATTTTTTTATTGCTTTATTTTATATGGCAGGGTGGGGACTGGGATGAGAGATGAGTGGGTTTTCCTTCCATCTTGTGGTTTCCAGAGATTGTGTCAGGTTGTGAGGCTTGGTTGCAGGGCTTATCTGTCCTCTCCCATTAGTAGTGAGAATTAGAATAGGTTGAAGAGAAAGTGGAGGCCTTTGGAATCCCTTTCCCTCCCTAGGAGTGGCTGCTTTCCTTGCGTTGCTTCAGTTTCCCAAGTCTGCTGTATTCTTGGTACCAAGAGACACTCTATGTAGCCGGGATTCTAGTTCTTTTTTCTCCCCCTCCTTAGGAAGAGGTACGTCCACAGGACACTGTGTCGGTGATTGGTGGAGTAGCTGGAGGCAGCAAACATGGGAGGAAAGCTGCTTGGAAATTCATAAAGGACAACTGGGAAGAGCTTTATAATCGATACCAGGGAGGATTCTTAATATCCAGACTAATAAAGGTATGTAGGAGTCTTGAGTAGCTTGCTAATCTTGAATGTTATTGAATGATTATCCATGTTCTATTAGACCCTTGGTTCTCAACCTTCCCTAATGCCAACACTTTAATACAGTTCCCCATGTTGTGATAACCCCCAACTATAACATTATTTAATTGCTACTTTATCATTATAATTTTGCTACTGTTATGAATTATAATGTAAATGTCTGGTATACACAGTATTTGATATCTGACTCCATAATTATGGAGTCATGATCCATGGGTTGAGAACCTCTGTATTAGACCCAAAAGTTTGGATCTTTGCTCTTTACAAGGTTTTTCAGCTAGGTATGGTGGATTATGCTTGTAACCTCAGCACTATAGAAGCTGAGGCAGAAGGATTGCTTTGAATTTGAAAGCAGTCATTGCTATATAGTAAGACCCAAACTCTCACTCCTACCTTCAAATCAAAGGCTGTAGTTGTATCTCACTCTTAGCCCTGTTGTGCACTGGCCCTCAGTTCAAACCCCAGAAAAAAACAATAACAACAAAAGACCAGAGTTCTCAACCAGTTACTGGATTTGTTTTTACAAGCATGCACATCCCTATCTTATCTTCTGTGTGACGAACCAAAGTGGAAGAGAGCAGAGTTGTTTGTCTTTGGGTAAGTGGAATTTTGTGCCTAGTCCCTTTGTTTCTCTAAACTGTTTAAAATCTCTGGTTTGTTTTCAGCTGTCAGTTGAGGGGTTTGCAGTTGATAAAATGGCTGGAGAAGTTAAGGTAAGGACAGTACTGTTCACTTCTCAGTTTTCAATCCAGAGCATAAGTGAATCTGCCTTTCTTATTCTTTTTTTTTTCCCTTCCCCTCCCTCTCTCCCTCCTTCTGTCCCTCCTCCTTCTCTCTCTCTCTCTCTCTCTCTCTCTCTCTCTCTCTCTCTCCTTCTCTTCTCTCCTCTTCTTTCTTTCTTAAACTTATTTTGTGTGTATGAGTGTTTTGCCTGCATATATATGTGTATTCCATGCTTGCTTGATACCCATCAGAAGAGGGCATAGGATGCCCTGGATCTAGACTTCTGGGAAGTTGTGAGCCACCACGTGGATGCTAAGAACCCAGGTCCTCTGGAGCAATAAGTGCTCTTCACCTGAGTCTCTCCAGCCTTGTGAACCTTACTCTAATGTTCTAATGAGTGTTGGGGTGGTGTGCTTTTCTGAGTCCTTGTGTCTTAGATTTGACTTTGCCTTTAATATCTGAAGAGTCTATAGTAGAGAGATAATCAGTTTTGTGTAGACTCTGGACCTGGTGAATATATCAGCATTTGGGGGACAGATTTATTCTGAGTGGGAAAATGTGAAACTCCATTGTACCATAAACTTGGTCATACTGCTATTTGTACCGCCAGTCCTCCTACCTGTATCTTCTTGGAGGCAATCCTGAGAGTTCTGGTCTAGTTCACTGTAGGAACCATAGTCAGAGATAAGTTAATAGCCAGGCAGAGTGGCTCAGGCCTAAACGCAGAGACAAGTCCTTCCCTGAGTTTGAGAACAGCCAGGGCTATACCTGTTTTTTAAAAAAAAAAATCAAAGGGAAAAAAACAGGAGGGGCTGGAGAGATGGCTCAGCGGTTAAGAGCACTGACTGCTCTTCCAGAGGTCCTGAGTTCAAATCCCAGCAACCACATGGTGGCTCACAACCATCTGTAATGAGATTGGATGCCCTCTTCTGGTGTATCTGAAGACAGCGACAGTGTACTCATAAATAAAATAAATAAATATTTAAAAAAAAAAAAAACAAAAAAAAACAGGAATATATTTTACTATTTTTAGGTCTTGAGAAAACACTTGACTTCAGCTGACATTTTATTGATTTCAGCTGTCACTTAATCTACATTGTATTATGTGAACAATTTCATTGTAATGGGACTACACAGGAGAGGCACCTAAACAGGTTTAGGAGGTGGGTATTGGCAAAGTGAAGCTGGTGTGGCAGACTAAAGACTGCAGGCAGGAATGCTGTCTTACACTGGTCAGGTTAAGGCAGGAGGACCACTGTGCTTCAAGACCAGTCATGCTGCAATATGGAAGATAGTTGGAGAAGGTTGAGACACTCCTTCTCCGAGTAAGACACAGTATAGCTCAGAGAAGAATAATGGAGTCATAGTGGGTTTTCCCAGCATACACTGGAGTGTACGGGGTGAGGTAGAGCCATACTCTGTAGCCATGCCTAACACTCACTGTGAACTCTAAGTTGGCCCTGAGTTCATAATGATCCTACTTCAGCCTCAAAAGTACAGGAATTATATAATGACTTATGAGCCACCACACCTGGCTTTTGTTAATCTTTAATTCAACAGTATTTCTGTGTGTTCTGACCATCTAAGACAGCATTTCTCAATCTGTTGGAGGAGACTCCTGTGGGGGGGTCACATGACCCTTTCACAGGGGCCACCAATGAAAGGAGACCATCAGGAAATACAGATAGTTACATTACAATTCATAACAGTAGCAAAGTTACAGTCACAAGTAGCCATGAAAATAATTGATGGTTGCAGGTCACAACAAGAAAGGAACTTAACTTAAAGAGTTACAGTGTTAGGAAGGTTGAGAACCTAAGAGAAGAAAAAGAGCCAAGGATATTTTCCTTGTGGAGCCTGCCTTTCAGCCCTGCCCTTGGGAGGCTAGGGCAGACAGGCCTCTAAGACTAGCCTGGTTTATATAGTAAACTTCAGGACAGCAAGGCCGTGTAGGGAGACTGTCCATGGCGTGGGCAATGACGGTGCTGTTGCTGTTTGCTGAGATGGAAAGGGAGGAGCACTGCTGTGTTATCCAGCCCTGCCCTGTGAAGCCTCCAGAGCTATTGTCTTCTTTGTAAATCAGGCTATTGGTATCTGAACTTTACACTTCATCTGATGAGTTATTTTCCGTTCTCCAGGATAGGCCTGTGACTATATGGTTGGTGTTTTCAGATAGTTTGTTTGCTGTGAAACTAGATGAACTAGTTAGAAAATAGCTTAGTAAGTAATTTTTAATATTAAACTCAAGAGGCATATCATTCTATGAAAAATGTAAAACTCTGGAGTAGAGTGGATTAGTAGCAGCATTTTAAACTTGGTAGCTTCGTTGCCCTTATGCTCGTTGTGAGGCAGCATTGAGTCCTAAAGGTGTGCTAAGTGCTTCTTTATTTCTTCCTCTGTTAACATTTCTTAGGGATGAGAGATTGATGCTTAGAGCAGAACTTACACAGTGACAAGCCACGCCCTGGACCAAGCCTAGCCTCAGGGTCCATAGTCACATCCTAATCACGGGAGGCCTTTGAACACTGGGACATGACACTGTCGTCTCTGACATTCTTGTTGAGAGCCATGGACTCAGAGCAGTTCCTTCTCAACGGCCTCACTTTGCAAATCCCATTAACATACTGCATACCCGAGCTCGGAAAAGCGTCTGCCCCTTAGGCAGGGTTTTTTAGGTATTCTAAAAAACATGATTTTGCTTTTATTCTGAGTAGGAGAGAGAAAATACCCTGAAGCGTTTGAAAGAGTCCAGAACAGAGGAGGGGGGAAAAAAGCAGACAGGATGTGACCAAGGCTGTCTGCAGGGGAGCAGAGCAGTAGAGCAGGGTGGGGCGGAATGGGAGGATAGTTGAGATCACAAGAGTTGGTGGAGACAGGGAAACTTGTCATTATACAGAAACAAAGGGTATCTGGGAGGGGGAAACCTAGGGGGTGGGAGGGCTGGGATTCTAGTGTAGTGGCTGTGAAACGTGTGACTGTGCTTGTGAGTGGGGACTAGGGATCCTGGAGACCTATATGAGCTTTCATGTGCGGTCTTAGTCACAGTTCTGTTGCCATGAAGAGACACCATGACCAAGGTAACTTAATAAAAGAAAGCATTTAACTGGGGACTTGCTTATTGTGTCCCAGGTTTGGGCTATTATTATGGTGGAGAATATGGAACAGTAGCTGAAAGAGAGAGAACAACCCTGGCGTGGGCTTTTGAACCTCAACATTTTCCCCCAGTGACACACTTCCTCCAACAAGGACACCCTTAATCCTCCTAATCCTATCAAACAGTTGTATTCCCTGATGACTGAGGGAATGGTCATCAAACCCATTCACACCACAGGACCCATGTACCTTCTGCCAGAAGCAAGGAAAGGCTCCATTTTGGGGACAGAAATCCCAGTTCACAACTTCCCAAGGAAAATGGCTTTTATCACCAGAAACCCTTCTCTAGGCCAGCTTGAGCTCATTTCTAGACATGTGGAGAGCCTGAGACCTAACACATAAAACTCTTGGAAACAAGTTTCCAGAATGTGAAGTATAAGGGTAGGGGACATTTCCAGATGCTAGTAGCAGAATGTTCAAAAGGACAGCGTCATGGCTTTTTTCAAGTTTAAGTTAGGACCGTGGCTCAGCAAGGAAAAGTGCTTCCTGCCAAACCTGATGATCCATTCGGTGGAAGGTGAGAGCCCAAGGGTTGGCCAGCTGACCTCCACATTTCACCAGGCTATCAATGTGTTAGAGGCAGTGCAAACTCTGTGTTTAAGAATGCTTGCTGTTCTTATAAAGGACCTGAGTTCAATTTCCTGAACCCATGTCAGCTGGGTCACAATCACCTACACCTCCAACTCCAGGGCATCTGATGTGCTCCTGGCCTCACGGGCACACATGCTTATACGTAAGTAAAAATAGGTCTTCAAAGCCAGGAATGGGATTGGTGGTGCACACATTTAATCCCAACACTCAGAAGACAGGCAGATGGATCTTTTTGAGTTCAAAGCCAGCCTGGTCTGCAGCCAGGGCTACACAGAGAAACACTGTGTCGAAAAACCAAAATAAATAGCTAAATAGAATCTTGAAAATTCCCAACACCCACATGGCAGCTCATAACTGTCTATAATTATCTCATGGGATCCAAAGCCCTCTTCTCATGTGCAGACACATAGGCAAATAAAATACCCGTATACATGAAAATTGTAAAAAAAAAAAAACAAAACCCAACTAGGTTAGATTCCCAAATGAAGTGAGAGAAAAGACAGTTAAATGGACTTGAGGAGAGTAGAAGGGCCTGAACACGCCATGCTCTGGAGAGTCCTGCCTTGTTCTCTGTGCAAAGAAAAGCCTTGGGTGCCACAGGTGGCAGCTGAGGACTGGAAATGCAGCTGGTCTGTAAGTATAAAATAGCCCAGAGTTTGGAGGCTATTTGAGAAACAGGATATATAAATCTAAATTTTTTGCCGGGCGGTGGTGGCGCACGCCTTCAATCCCAGCACTTGGGAGGCAGAGTCAGGCGGATTTCTGAGTTCGAGGCTAGCCTGGTCTACAGAGTGAGTTCCAGGACAGCCCAGGCTACACAGAGAAACCCTGTCTCGAAAAACAAACAAACAAACAAAAAATCCAAATTTTTAAATATACTTGTTATATTTGGAGTAATGCTTTTGATCTGTCTACTTAAATAAGATATATTCTCAAGGAAAAAAGAGCTGCACAATCAAGTTAGTAAATACATCGGATGGTTTTAGTGGGTTTAGATTGTAAACGTGCTCCGTTCATGTCTGCAGGCATGGCTACGTGTAGCTTTCTCTGGGCCATGAATTGGACACACTGGTAGATCACCAGCATTTTTAAAAGCAGCGGGTTCAGTTGCTATCGGCTTTGGATTAGGTTTTATGCTTTCACTAATTAAGGAAGGATTCTTACATGTATGCTCAAGAGCTGCTCAGTGAGCCTGTGGTGGCCATGGTCAGTTCTTGATTGAGCCTGATGGATCAGTTAGGCCAGCTGGTGCTCTTACGTAGTCCCAAGGTTAACTTCTTACTGTTCCTAACAGCAATTCTGCATTCTGGATTGTTTTTATACCAGGCTTTCTTCGAGAGTCACCCAGCTCCTTCAGCTGAGCGTACCATCCAGCAGTGTTGTGAAAATATCCTGCTGAATGCTGCTTGGCTAAAGCGAGATGCTGAGAGCATTCACCAGTACCTCCTTCAGCGGAAAGCCTCCCCACCCTCCGTGTGAAGCCTCCCTCCGCAGGTGGTCTCACTGCCTCTGCGGGGATGAGGTGGAGCTACCAGACAGCTGATTCACATGCCAAGAATTTGGAGTCTTACACCAGTGGGGGTTGGACAATGAATGTAGTTAACTGGTTCCTGCTCACACTCCAGAATTAAATTCTATTGAAAAAGGAAAATCAGCAATTCAGCAAAAAACAAATAAAATAAAAAATAAAATAAAAATGTAAATATGATAGTGATAAACTAGAGCATAACGAAGCTGTGAACTTCCCGAAGCTGGCCGTGGTCACGGGTGAGCACGCTCCTCTTAGTGACGGGTGTCGTTTTATAGCCTGCCAAAAGGAAAGCCTGAGGAGCCGGGTGTGGCCATCGCTGGGGATGCTGACCAAGAGGCTGACCGCTGGCTCACACAGTGCAGTCTATGTGTGATTGATTATAAGTGGGTTTTCTTTTCCTTTTTGGCATGGGAACCGACCAGGAAGGTATCTTCTCCTGTATAACTCAGTCTGAACCAAGGATTGTAGTTCCCTCCTTGCCTCCCTTCTGTGTGATCCCCACCCCCCAAAAAAGTAATGAAAAGCTTTAAAAAATAAAACAAAAAAACTACCCTCTCTCCCTTCCCAGGTTCTCCTCCCTTTAGTTGTGCCCAGCCCTGACCTGTCCTTAGAGAACAGAAACATCTCTGACGGCCACATTAAATAAGAGGATATGCTGATATGCTTTTATTTTCTAAGATAACCTTTAAGGAACCCTGAAGTGCATAAGAGGTGAAAGAGTAGAAATAAAGACTATCAGCTAGGCCTTTCTGCTCAAAACTGTCCCAGTTACCGGACAGGCCAAACGCTGCACCTCTTCCGAACAGTATCAGTGAGCTCTGGCTCACCACTTGTGCATGTGAGGGGCCAGTGGGGACTGCTGTGGGGCCCAGATGTCTGCTGCACCGTCGCCGGTGGTATGCCCACTAACGAGCCTCGCCTCCTAACCCAGTGTGTTTTTACTAAGTCTCAGCCCCTTCCCCCAACCCTTTCTTCTCTTTCCTTTCCTTTTATTTTTTTCCTGAATCCTTTTATTTTGTGTTAACAGAAATTCATATTTGGTGTGGCTTAATGTATTTTGGAAGGTCATCAGATTGTGAGACTGCTTCCTTGAAACATTTTTGTGCTATTGTTTTAAAAAATAATAATTAAAAAAAGTTGGCGTTAATAAAAATGTCAATGTGAAGTCAATGGCCTGGTTCTTTCAGCCTCCTTGAAACTAAAGTTTCCCTGTGCCTCAGTAGAATTACAGGAAGGCAGACAACCATAGGAGTTTTGAAAAATTATATTTACATTTTATGTGTATAGATACATACATACCACGTATGTGGAGGTCTGACAACTGTGGATACTAATTTGCCCCTTCTTCCTGTGGTAACTGGAGACTTGAACTCAGATCATCTGGCTTTGTAGCAAGAACCCTTATGCCCATCTTGCCAAATCCCATTTATAATTCTGAAGCAGCCTCAATCTGAAGCCTGGCTAGACTAGAACTTGCTATGGCAGCCCAGGCTGGGCTCAAACTCAAAATGATCCTCCTGCATCATTCTTCACAGTCTTGGAATTATAGGCATGAGCCAACAGGCACGGCTTTACCACAGGACTTCTTTTTTTTTTTTTTTTTTGTAGTTTTAAAAATTTATAGCCAGGTGGTGGTGGCACACACCTTTAATCCCAGCAGTTGAGAAGCAGAGACAGGAAGATCTCTTGAGTTTCTGGCCAGCCTAGTCAACAGCTAGCTCCAGGACAGAGTTACACAGAGAAACCCTGTCTCAAGAAGCCAAAAAAAGAAAAAAATTCAAAGTAGGTATGGTTTGTACCTATAATGTCAGCATACTGGAGGTTGAGGCAGGAGGATTAAGAGTTTCAGAGTTGCATGGGCTACATAGCAAGTACCTGTCTTAACAAATATATCAGCCGGGCGGTGGTGGCGCACGCCTTTAATCCCAGCACTTGGGAGGCAGAGGCAGGTGGATTTCTGAGTTTGAGGTCAGCCTGATCTACAGAGTGAGTTCCAGGACAGCCAGGGTTATCCAGAGAAACCCTGTCTTGAAAAACCAAAAAAAAAGAGGGAAAAAAAGAAACATCATGCATGCCCAATCTGAAGAATGTTCTAAAAGGTCACCCTTTTCTCTACCTGATATTTCTAAGTGTGTTTTGATGTATGACAGGAAGTTGTTCCGTAACTGTTTTATTTTCCCTGGCTCCTTTAACAATTTCATTTGGGAACACTGTATTATATTAATGGCTGCCCTTTCAAAACCATTTTCTGTTTCAACTGTGAGACAGGGCTTGGTAGTAGAGAATTGACTTAGCATGGTAAAGTTCTGGGTTCAATCTACTGTATAAATAATAATGATATATATTTATTTTCCCAGATTTGGGGGTGGAAGGAAACCAGGTGTGACATCATACAATGGAGCCTTCAGCAGGAGAATTACTTGACCCAAGAGTTTTACACCAGCCTGGGCTATAGAATGCATCTTCAACAAACAACAGGCTGGGGAGTAGTAGTGGGGGCAATGGGGAGTTGGAGGCATGGAAGGGTTGGGGGATGTGTGGCTCCGTTGGTAGAGTGCTTGCCTGTCTTGCATAAAGTCTTGAGTTTAATCCCTAATACCCATAAAGGGAGTGTTGGCACATACTTAAATCCCAGCACCCTGAAGGGCAGTGGAGAAGATAAAAACTTCAGCTTCATCCTTATGGGACCCAAGACTCAGCCTCCAAAAAGGGGTTGGGGCAAGCAGAGTGTGGCAGTGTGCTCCAGTAATCTCTAGACTTGGAATATGGAAGCAGAATGATGAGACTGTTTCAGGCTAGACTGAGCTGGGTACTTTTTCCTCAAAAAGAGGACATGAGAGTGGAGATATAGCCCAGTGAGCAAGTGCTTGCCTAGCATGTATAAGGACTGGGGTGCAATCTCAAGTACGGAGGGGGCCAGTGAGGAGAGGAGGGAAGGAGAAAGGGAGGCAGGGAAGGCGGGAGGGAGGGAGGGAGGGAGGGAATGACAGGGAGAATTTATTTTTCTTTTTAAAGATTTATTTATTTTATGTATATGAGTACACTGTAGCTGTCTTCAGACACACCAGAAGAGGGCATCAGATCCCATTACAGATGGTTGTGAGCCACCATGTGGGTGCTGGGAATTGAACTGAGGACCTCTGGAAGAGCAGTCAGTGCTCTTAACTGCTGAACCATCTCTCCAGCCTGAGAGAGAATTTATTAATAAGCCCAGAAACAAGCAGGTTTAATCTGAGAGAATTTATTAATAAGCCCAGAAACAAACAGGTTTGTTTGGGATTTTTTTTCCCCTTTGAGACATGTTTTTCTCTGTGTAGCCCTGGCTACCCTGGAACTAGATCTGCCTGTCTCTGCCTCCCAAGAAACAGCCTTGTTCAACAGGTAAATTTAGAACTCTTTCAGCCCTTTTTCTCTCTCTTTCTCTCTCTTCCTCTCTCCTTCCCTCTCTTCCTCCCTCCCTCCCTCTTTCCCTCCCTCTTGTTCTCTCTCTCTCTCTCTCTCCCTCCCTCCCCTCCCCTTTCTTAGGACAGGTACTCATGTAGCCAAGACCAGCCAAACTAGCCTAGAACTCCTCATTCTCTGGCGTACTTCCTCCCAAGCCCAGGATCATGGGTGGGCAGCACACCTATCCGGGTTATGCTTATCTGCACTAGTTTAAACCTGTCAAGTATTTGTAGGGATAGAGCGAGGCTGTGCCCTCTTTTCCTGTCCCCTGTGAAGTCCAGTATGCCACACCCTTTTGATCTTTGATGTTCCCTGCTCCTCGATGCCCATAATGGTGTGCTTGGCAGACACACTTGGAGAAGTGCACTGCCTCTGGTAGAGTCTCTGTAGGTCACATGTTGCAGCCTGCCTTCCTGGTGTTAGGTGTCAGTTTGCTGTAATTTCCATGCACCTGTGACAAATGAGGTATAATGCATCTTGCTTCGTTGGTTCTAAGTGGTTCCTGTCAGTGTCCTTGTCATTGGAGCTGTCAACTGTACCATCCCTGAGACCAGCTCTTCTAATGCTTCCTGAGTGTACAGCTCCATTTTATTTAAGTTGGCCTTTAGACAGTTTCACACAGTGCAGACTGACCACTCCCAATCTTACCTTCCCCTCTCCCACTGTCAACACCATCCTCAACGACAGTGTATGGCTCATAGCACCATTAACTGGATTAGAAAGCTATGTAGGGATGTGTTTTACAAAGATTTTGCAGGGAGAGATACAGCCAGCTAAGAAAATTACTACAACCTGTTTTCAGAATCCCAAACTGCAGAGAGTGCAGATCCCGGAAGCTGTTAAGGAAGCTGAGAGTTCCTGTCAGTGTGCATGTTCACTTGCTGAATGTGGGACACCTCAGCCTGAGCAACCCTTATGCTTGCTTCATTAATCCAGTGGCTGCCTTCTTCCAACCAACATGCTGGTGCTAGGGTGGTATAGCCCACCTGTAGTCATGTGTAACTTCCTGAGTTCAGTTTCAGCATGAGAGATGGGGGTGAGGGGAACACAGCACAAGAAGGACCTCAGATAGATATAGTGTGGGAAGGGTTTGTTTTTGACTTTTTGAGACAGGGTTTCACTATGTAGTTCTGACTAGCCTATCGTAGATAGGCTGGCCTTGAACTCATGGATATCTGCCTGCCTCTGAGTGTTGGGATTAAAAGGATATACCACTACTCCTGGCAACGTGGGTAGTTGCCATTTGTGGTCCATCCTCGACCATGCCTTATGTGTGCTGGACACAGTTTCTTGTTGTCATGTGAGCATTACAGAAGGAGGAACCTAGTGCAAATGACAGTGACCTTTTCCAGGTGCTATGACAGAATGGTGTTGTGCAATCTCACAGCGTGCTGTTTGCTGTGGTAGATGTACCTTTTAGACACTGATTAAAAGACCTCGGTTAATCCTAGCACTTGGAGCTGGAGGCAAGTGGCTCTCTGTGAGTTTAGGGCAAGTATGGTATACACAGGTAGTACAGGTTATTGACGGGAAGGCTGAAGAAAGAGCAGCAAACTAACAGCACACATCCTGTGCTTGGAGAAGGCATACCTAGGTTCAGATTCCAGTACACACCCACAGGAATGAACTACCAGCAACTCCATTCCCAGCGGTTCCAATGTCCTTTTCTGGCCTCTATGGGCACCTGCATGCATATGGTACACATTAAATACACAGATGTGCATACGCACACATGCATGCACACACTTGAATGCACATGTGAGCCACACATGCATAAATTACAAAAAAAAAAAAAACATTTAGCTGGGCAGTGGTGGCACACGCCTCTAATCCCAGCACTTGGGAGGCAGAGGCAGGCAGATTTCTGAGTTCAAGGCCAGCCTGGTCTACAGAGTGAGTTTCAGGACAGCCAGAGCTACACAGAGGAGCCCTGTCTCGAAAAAACAAAAACAAAAAAAAAAAAACAAAAAAAAAGAAAGAAAGAAAAAAAATTAAACATCATGGTCATTGAAATGGTTTCATTAAAGTTCCCACCAAGTTGACCTTGAAGACAGTGTTCAAAGCACAGCCTGGAACCTCTTAGTTCCTAGCCCTGGGATGTAGACAGCAGACAGCAGCTACTCGAAGTTTTCGCTCACTAAAGAAGAATGTCAAACATGGCAGACATGGCCTCTGTCTGCTTGAGGCTGAGGAGTTAGCATGGACAAAGGGCAGCCAATGAGTGCTCTTCTCCTGCAGTGTTGGGGCTTCCAGGTAATAACTCTACCAGGGATCCACACCACTAACCATTTGGAATGCGAAGCATACAATTGCGAGCATCACCGGGGATTCTAAATGCTCAGGAAAAGTCCTCTTGAAGATGTGATGTCAAATCAAGATCTGAAAGATTGGCCAAACAGGTTAGAGAGGTGGCTTAGCAAATAAAAAGAGTTTGATTCCCAGCACCCAATTGAGGCTCCCAAGCTGGCAAAACTCCAGGGAATTCACTGCCCTCTTCTGGCGGTTAGGGGCACTGCATGTACATGGTACAGACTACCTGCAGGGAAAACACCCATACACGTAAAATAATAAAATAATTTTTCATTGGAAAGTAAAGCGCTGTCGCAACACTACTACCATAATTACGAGTGACGTTGCTATCTAAAGGAGCAGTGCCCAGGTGTTCATATCTCCCTCTAACGGGAAGGACCTGCTGCTCCTCCAGGGATCTGATGGAAAGGC